GTCCCTAACTGACGGGGTCTGACCGTCTGAGACAGCATGGCCAACTCAGTTCCAGGTCAACTTGGTCCCAGGTACAAATGTATAAAGTCGGTCCAATGTCAACTAAGTCTCAAGTCATTTTAGTCCCAGGTCAAATTTGAAATTAATGGAAAAAATACTCTACAATTATATGACTGAGGGCGAAAAAGAAATAGCCTAATGACGGCCCTGGCAATGTAACCTACATGTAGGGCCTACATCTCAAATCCTTTGTTTACGCATTTAGAACATACAGTACACAGTTTCCTTGAGACGTTTTCAAGAACATTAATTAAATGAGCAATGTCAGGCTCCTGCCTGCAAAGAATGACCTCCATTCCTCCATCATCATGTTCCTGCATGATGCATGCCAGCAAATCCTGACCACGCTGACTATACATGAAATGTCAAAATCATATTGAAATTGGAGGATTCAGGACTGTTAGGATTAAGGAATGCATTGTGATTATTTATTACGAATACGATTTTCTGGGTAATTGCAACTAGTAAGGCACACTGGGCAGAAATATTTCTTAGATGAAAGTCTTCTACATACACGAGTCATTGCGTCGTCCAAAAGTGCGTGCTGTGGGATAGCTCAAGGCGCCTACGCTACGACTGTTTCATGTACGACATTACTGTAATGACTTCCTGTCATGGCGCGGCGTACGTACACAAAATCCTTGTGTCGCAGGCTAAAAACAAGGAGAAACTACAAAAACTACATCTTCTGAGCAGAGTAAATACATAATCTGTAGGCTTACCTTTTCCATCTGATGCCGTGACCATATTTCTTCAGAAATTGTACAATCATTTAGATGTCCCCAAGTTTTTTGTTAGATCGATTTTTATTGATTTTTCTAGTGCTTTTAACTCCATCGTTCCACATATTTTAATTGATAAGTTATTGAGCCTGGATGTAACACCACAGCTTGCGTTGGTTATTCACAATTTTCTCTTAGATAGACCACAGAGGGTTAAGTGTAATAATATGGTGTCTAGCGTCAAATATTTGAGTTTAGGTGCTCCCCAAGGCTGCATGGTTTCACCTGTTTTGTTTTCACTGTACACCAGTGACTATGTTAATCTTAGTCCCAACTGCAGCATAATTAAGTATGCAGACGACACAGTTATTAGCGGTTACTTAACCAATGATTCCATTGAATACATTAGTGCTGTCAAAAAGTTCGTTGACTGGTGTGAGCGCCATCATTTAGTGCTTAACGTAAAAAAAACCAAGGAAATGATTTTCGACTTCCGTCGCTCAGCTGCAGTCAATGAACCCCTGGTCATAAATAATCATCCTATGGAGCAGGTTTCAGAGTATAAGTATTTAGGCACAGTTATTGACAACAAACTCAATTGGAACACAAATTCACAATTACTTTCTAGTAAAGCTAACCAAAGGTTGTACTTCCTGAGAAAACTAAAAGAGTTCCACGTTGACAATAGGATCTTAAATCTTTTTTATCAGTCACTGATTCAAAGTATTCTCACTTTTTGTTTGATCTGTAATTTTGGTAATCTGTCTAAACAAAATGTAAAGAAACTGGAGAGACCAAGGAAAATCGCTCAGCGTTTAATTGGTACTGATCTGGATTCAATTGGTTCACTGTATGAAAAAAGACTCATGCTTAAAGTACACAAAATAATGCAAGACATCTCTCATCCACTTAACAGTTGTTTTACATTCAGTAGGTCGGGTATTCGTCTTTCTGTTCCTAGGACCTCACTATGTCGCACCAGACGATCATTTGTTCCTAATGCTATTCACATGTTCAACGACAATGCAAGTAGGGTCTAACTAAGGGTTGTTAGCACTTTTTACCATGGTCTCGTAATGTAGTTTTCGCACTCTTGGAATGGATTGGTCGGGGCAGCATTGATTGGTCACAGGGGGCTACGGGGTAGGAAGGCTGAGTGTTTTTTTCTCTCTGTATCCTTCCAGCCTGATGTTGTCTATGATGTTGTCCCATGTGACCGGTTGGCGTTGTTTTGGCTGGTGCATTTTTTTAGTGTGCGGGTCTTTTGTTGCTTTGTATTTCAAACTTGTCTAATTTTGTAATTTATATAGTTTTTATATTGACTGTGTGTACCTGTATTTGGCCAGTGGATGTCAAATTTCTATGTTTTTTAACGTGGACAATAAATATATTGATTGATTGATTGATTGATTAAATTTCATTCTGTCATCTGAATCTCCGAAATCATGCCAAAACATGGCCACGAAGGTCCCCACTCGTCACGCCATGACACTGCATGTACACTTCGTACGTCGCGACTTGACGAATTCCTGTTTTATTCACCCTCAGTATTGGCTAAAATCTCACGAAAGCATGTCGACCCAAACCTTTCGTCCATATCAATGTGAACCTAGATAACCCATTTATTGATAGATTGACCAAGTATGCGTCACAAAACTGCATTTTACTTTGAAAATGATGTTTTCTGGAAGTGGAAATGACGGCACGAAAACGCTTAATCGTACCAGGTGGCAAGTCACACGCTGCATAAAAAACACACATTATCAGAATTTGTGCACGCTAGATGGCAACTGTCGACCGTACATAGCTTCATTGATGGTTTGTAGAGCCTTATTTGGTAATCTGTTGCATATTCATTTTAATAAACCAATCAATCTTTATATCTTTCGCGGGGTATTTCAATCCACCAACGAAACAAAGGGATCGCTGCGCGTAATGTTCTTTAACATCGCGCTAGATTGTCACGTGGTATTACCACTAACTCCATCTCGCCAACAGAGGGCGTACTTTTGTATGCGTGAAACTGCCGTGTTCTTGATGCATCCTGTTCATATGCATTGCAACCGTTAACTGACTTAAATTGTGTTCCAGATGAATTTTGTTCGTTCCGTTCTTCTTTTAACTCAAACATATTCTGAATCCACACCGCCCCCCATTAATGGATCTTTTTCTCACTCTTCAACAGTGAACAACTTTATTTACCGTGTGGAACGTCATCCCACCTCATGAATGGACTCCACCGTGACTACGCTTCTTGAGAGGTTGATATTAGCAGTGTTTTCAGCAGACTTTAAGGCCTGGATCTCGATTGGATTGAACACTTGAACACTTGACCGGAGTTGACGACCCCAAGGCCTTGACCCAGTGGTGCGGACCCACGGAATTGGCCTGAGTCTTTGGCCCACGGCCATGCTCCGAGTAAGTGGCGGTTGACGGTTGTCGTCACACGGACTGGCCCGAGTCATCGACCATGCCTTGACCCGAGGTGCCAAGCTACGGACTTGACCAGAGCCGTCGACCCGCGGCCTTGTGCAACTTGAACACTTGAACACTTGACCCGAGTTGATGACCCCAAGGCCTTGACCCAATGGTGCGGACCCACGGAATTGGCCTGAGTCTTTAGCCAACGGCCATGATCCGAGTAAGTGGCGGCCCACGGCCTTGCGCCGGGGTGTCGTCCTACGGACTGGACCGAGTCATCGACCATGCCTTGACCCGAGGTGCCAAGCTACAGACTTGACCAGAGCAGTCAACCCGCGGCCTTGTGCAACTTGAACACTTGACCCGAGTTGATGTCCCCAAGGCCTTGACCCAGTGGTGCGGACCGACGGAATTGGCCTGAGTCTTTAGCCAACGGCCATGCTCCGAGTAAGTGGCGGCCCACGGAATTGGCCCGAGACTTCTGCTAAAAAAATCAGGGGAAAAGTGGCCAGGAAACGCCTCAGATTGCACCACAGAGCATCTATGATCCAAAATTTTCGGGGCCCTTAAGCGGGCCCCGGACCCCACGCCGTAAGTGCTTCGCGCTCCGCGCTCGCATTGGTCCTCCGGCCAAATACCCTCTATGCTAATTTCACCCTAGCGGTGCCCCCACCTTATTTGTACCTTCATCAGCGAATGGCTGAGGCTCGGACTACAAGTGGCCTAAATCCCTTTCCAAAATAGAAAATTGTGAAAAAATACGGAGATGGAACATGGTTCTCAACTTTCAGTACATAACAAACTTGATGAAGAACAAAAAAAATTACATATTTAAATGGAATTTTCGATGTTTAAAACGGTGGAAGTGGCCAGGAATCGCCTCAGATTGCACCACAGAGCATCTTAAATCCAAATTTTTCGGGGCCCTTAAGCGGGCCCCGTACCCCATGCCGTAGGGGCTTCGCGCTCACAGGTCCTGGACCCTTCATTACAATTCTAGGCCCCCCCCCCGGCAAATGGCAGTCTGAATCCGCCCCTGTGACCAGAGCACATTTGTGTCCTGTATCTGGAGTTTGGCCTTAGGGGTGGGGGCGGTTTACACAAAGAATTAGATTCCCAACGGATGAGAATCATGAGATCCAGGGGACGAAGCTGAGTAATTTTAGCCAATTACTAGAACAGATCCTAGCACTTCCGCAGCCCATGTCACTTTTTTTCTTGAATTTCTTCTTTTTGTTTTGTTTAAATGCTGTTGAGGGAGGGGACTGCCCACATTGACCCCTTTACTCATATGTTCATCATATAGGCCTACTCTAAAGACACAGAACATGTTTTTTTTTCTTTGATTTACTATGTTTGGCGCCAACACAAACTCCCGACTTTTATTTTAGCGTTAAGTTTAGCCCACTGATACTATCTTTTATTTCTGGCGCCAACACAATTCACCATCTTCATGAGCGTCATAAATGATGACATCCAATTTTGAAACACCCCCCTTGAAAAAATCCTGCGTACGCCACTGGACTCTGCTATTATGTTCATGCACAAATGAGTTCTGGTAGCAGGGCTTTGCTTTGTAGAGTTAATTCAATGCTTTCTTTCCCCTTTTGAGCCCTGGCACGAATACAGCTCAATAATTCAAATGTTTCCTTTTGTTATTTGAATCCTTTCAGCAAAGTGAGGACCACTGACTGATGAGGGAATTGCTCTACTGAGATGAGGTTGAGCCTGCCTCAAGACATCGTCAGGGCTCCGACAGCCTCATCAAACAGAAACCCGAGGAACCGGAAGCAGGGAGGAGGACCGACAGATGAACGGATGACCTGCTTGCTGGGCTACCCATTACTGATTCTTGAGGTTAGTTTTTAGTTACATGTACTTAAAGAATAAGCAGAAACAAGTAATCAAAATAGGTGATCTGGCGCTCTTCTATGTTCTCCCACAAATAAAGAGTGCTGGTAGTGGGGCACTGATTTGTGGGGTTAATTCGAACATTTCTTCCCCCCCCCCCCCACCTCTTGCTCTACCTTTCAGATATTTCTTAATAATGATAACCCAGTCAAAACCTAGAAAACTCAGAGTCATTGTGAAGATGTACCCTGGAGGAATGCTATCAGTCAAAACCTAGAAAACTCAGAGTCATTGTGAAGAATGATTTGATATTTTATAATGAGGATTTAAACGTACATACAGACTGGACATTTGTCACAAAATGTCTCTCCCTGTTTATACATTACCCTAATCACATCATAAATTTGAAGCCATTTTGAAAACTGATATTCTCGTTTGACAACAATGTAAAATGGCTTAATAATGTAACTGGAAGTGCCTATTAGAAACTGAATTTGTCCTAAGCACCCTTTTCCTAGCAGTGAAAAAAAGAGAAAAAATACTAGCTCATCTTTTACCTTTATATGCAACATCCATAAACTTATGTACTTGGCCCATTAGAACCCTCCGATGCAAACATGCACACTCAGCCATGCTGTTACTCGGGTCAAAATCAGTCAAGTGACCGTTTTTTGACCCGATGGCATTGTATGCATTGAACTACATTATTGACCCGTTTTGACTGCTTAAGTAACTGGCCATGAGAATGACTTGACCAACTGTGACCCGTAGAACAGTTGTTGATAATGAATATTTGCTGACTGTTATTGTCTCGTTAAAGTACTGTCATAGTCAGTAAGTTGCTGGTATTGACTGTTTGAAACATGATCCCTGTCAAAACAGCTGTGGGTGCTAAATTGCTGTTGACTGTTTTTGACTTGACAGTCCTTCTGATTTGAAAATTACCGGCGTGTGGAAAAAGGCACACCTGGACTTTTCTAGGTGTGTATTTTTTCTAGGTGTGTGATTTTCTAGGTGTGTGATCTTTGGTCCAGGGAAATTCAGGCATGCAATTGTTCACACTTCGCGGGAAGCTTTTAGGTGTGCGATGGTGTGGGGGTGTGATCGCACACCTCAAATCAGAAGGACTGACTTGACAAAGTGCTGTCAGCCCGATGCAGTGTTGCCAGTGTTGTAGTCGAGTACTTTTTTCTGAGTACCGAGTACTGCCGAGTACTCAGGGATGTGATTTTCCGTTTTTTCCCGGAAATCTGTTTTTTTTGGGGGTTCAAAAGTCCACCAACGTGAATTGTGTGAATCCGTTGAGAAAGTAGGGGGGTAGAATGTGCTAATTAATTATTCATAATGAGTTTTGCTTGCCGAAATATCCGAATTTACTTACGGACATGACTTCGTTGATCGATACGCATGCACATATTGAATAACCAATGCGAGAACGAGGTTGAAGACCATGCGTTGCAGTTAGCGCGATCATGTGATTTTTCGCTCGGGTCCGAGGTTGTGATTATTTAGGTCTAGTTCCTATGTCGGTACCCAAGATGCACGTGTTGCGCTGGTCAGGTGTACAGACAAATATTGCTCAGCGTGCACAACAGCATACAGTACAGTGCAATCGTGTGGATTATGCACGTTGTTTCATGTGCGTCGAGTGTTTGTGTACGCTGCGTGTAGGGATGCATCCAACATGGCTGCGCCCAACAAGTCGATAGTGTCGCACGGAGATAAATCAGTGCGAGTGCTTGATAAAGAAGTGAAAAATAAGTTCCGGTGGGAATGGTTTCGGGGCCATAGTGTAGAAACATTACTTGTTCATCTGTCCGCGACCACATCCTACGACAGATGGATGTTGGCAAAGTAATGGCGCTTGTGCTTCTCGATCTGTCATCAGCATTTGACACCATAGATCACGCCATCCTGATCAGTCGCTTGCACTCTTTGGGAGTGCACGATGCAGCCTTGCAGTGGTTTGACTCATACCTTGCAGACCGGCAACAGTCTGTTAACTTCAATGGAGTATTATCTGCCCTACCTCCCTTGACTGTGGTGTTCCTCAAGGATCTGTTGGTGGTCCGATGTTATTCACCATCTACATTTTACCACTCCACCAGATCATCCAGAAACACAACCTTCAATATCACTGCTATGCTGATGACATACAGCTGTATCAATCCTTCAATCCATCTCAACCCAATGCTGTGTCTGCCCTGGAGAATCTTGAGGCTTGCATTGATGAGATCAAGACATGGATGATGACAAACAGTCTCAAATTGAATGACAACAAGTCTGAATGTATCCTGTGTGGCTCAAAATAACAACTCGCCAAGTTCAATATCACCAGCATTAGGATTGGAGATTGCCACATCCATCCTTCCACCAAGTGTCGCAACCTAGGTGTCACTTTTGACCCCCACATCGCTTTCAAGTCACTACAAGGAACTTCACCGGACTATATAACGGACATTATCTCGAAATATCAGCCGTCACGTAGTCTTCGTTCGGCCGGAGCGCTACAGCTTACTGTTCCCCGCACCAATCACTCTTGGGGAGACCGGTCTTTCTCAAGCGCCGCTCCCGAACTCTGGAACAATCTACCCCTTGAAATTCGCCAGTCATCATCATTGTCTGTATTTAAATCTTCTGTGAACACTCATATGTTTACCTCACGTTTTTGTGTTTAATGAGTTGATGTTTATTACTCCTGTCACTAATTTCTGTTATTCAAATTTAACTTAATTTATACTGTAATTGTTTTGTATGTATTGTGCGCCATGAGCGTCTTGCTTGGCGGATATCGGCGCCTTATAAATGTTCATTATTATTATTATTATTACTCTTTCCAAACATGTGTCCAGTGACACATTTTTGGAAATGTCTGTGAATTGGTCCCCCCCCATGCATTGCTATTTGTACTTGGTTTGCATTAGGGCTTGCTCAATGACGTCCAAATCTGTAGGAGAGCTGTAACTGCGTATTTTACGCAATATATCATGCATTGCGCAGTGTTGAAAATGTTCCAAACATGTGCGCTTATTGCTTGAAATGTTTTTCGAATGTCGACGTGGCCGATGCCCGTTATGCAATTGGATGCTCAGTATGTTGATGCACGCGGCTGGTCTGTAGGAAATGACGTCATTTTACAAGACCTATTGGGGAATGCACAAATGGGTGACAACCTTCTCACATGCTGCCAATTTCCAAACGTTTGTCAAGTGACACATTTTTGGAAATTTCTGTGAATCCGCCCTTCCCCCATGCATTCTAATTTGTAATTGGTTGCAATTGGGGGATCCACGAATGAGTGACAACCTTGCATGAAGTCAATTTCCAAACATGTGTCAAGAGGCACATTTGTGGACATTTCTGTTTATCTGCCCCCCCCCCCATGTGTTCTAATCCCCCCCCCAAAAAAATGTGTCAAGCGACACATATTTGGAAATTTCTGTAAATCCCCCCATGTGCTCTAATTTGTACTTGGTTTGCATTCGGGGGATTTACAAATGAGTGAAAACCTTCTCACATGCTATCAGCTTCCAAACGTGTGTCAAGTGACACATTTTTGGAAATTTCTGTGAATCCTCCTACTCCTCTATGTGTTCTAATTTGTACTTAATTCACCTTCTGGCATGCTGTCAATTTGCAAAAAACAAAATAAGGTCCTTTCCAAAGATGTGTCAAGTTCCATTTTTGGAAATTTCTGTGAAACTGCCACCTCCCGAATGCGTTCCAATTTGTACTTAGTTTGCAATTGGGGAATCCTCGAATGGTTGACAACTTTCTGCCACGCTCTCAATTGGAAGAAAACAAAAGAAGATCATTTCCAAAGATTTGTCATGTGACACAGTTTTGGAAATTTTTGTAAATCCCCCAATGCGTTGTTACAATTTGGGAAGCCACAAATGAATGACAACCTTCTCGCATACCTTCTTGCGTGTCAAGTGACACATTTTTGAAACTTTCTGTGAATTGGCTCCTCTCCCATGCTTCTAATTTGTACTTGGTTTGCAATTTGGGAATCCACGAATGGGTCCAAACCTTGCATGCTGTTAATTTCCATAGATGTTCATAGGAGTTATTAATGAAAATTCTGTGAATCTGGCCCCCTTCCCCATTGTGTCAATGGAAATTTCTGTAAATCCCCCGATATGTTCTAATTTTTGTATTTAGTTTGTTATCCACGAATGGTTGACAACTTTCTGACATGCTGTCAATTTGAAGAAAAGAAAAGATCATTTCCAAAGATGTGTCATGTGACACATTTTTGGAAATTTCTGTAAATCCCCCCTCCCCATGCACTCTAATTGCACTTGGTTTGCAATTTGGGAATGCACAAATGGGTGACAACCTTTTCGCATTCTATCAATTTCCAAACATGTGTCAAGTGATACATTTTTTTAAATTTCTGTGATTCCCCCCCCCCCCCCCCTTAAATGTGTTCTAATTGAGTGGTCGGGCAATAAAATCTAATAGGCCCCAGGCCTCTCTTGATATTCCTCGATGAAATCCGACTCAGCAGCCTGACTCCAAATATATCTCAAGATCCCCTGACTCCTGTCAGAGTCTTAATAATTAAAGATATCAGCTACAACTGATGTAAATCACAGTTACTAACTGTCTAGATATCCGCTCTCCGACTCTGGCTCCCCAAAGTTTTTCTCCCGAAAACTTTGCTCCCCAAAACTTTGCTGCCCAGCTCAGCTCAGCTCCCCAATTTCATCAAGTTGGCTCCCCCCAACTCAAGTTGTAAAGATGACATATTCTCTAAGTATCTCAGCTCCCCAAACTGGCCAAAGCACTATGTGTAAATACAGTTAGAGATCAGCAGTAGAGTTCGCAGCTAGCAGTAGACCAACACCCATCAAAGAACCGTACCCAGAATGAACAAAACCTGCCCTATTTATACCCTATTGGCCCAGTGCGAAAATCAAAAGTACGCGATAGTAAATAGGCCACACCCATTTTGTAAAAATCACAGTATACTGAATTCACATAGCGATAGTTTCCCCTCAATTTCTCCACAATTATACAGCAAAATATTACACAAAAAGGCTTAAATTAATCTTCAAGACATTCCTTACAGTAAATCTGTTGTAAACGTGTGAATAAATTATACAGAATCCCCCAAATGCTCACTTTTACAAGTAGTAAATGAATGTAAACAAACCTTAAAGGGAAAATACAACATTTGCAAACATCAAAAAATAAAACTACCAAATCATTTTGAAATACCTTGCTGGACTGTTAGTGAATGACAGTGTAAAGCATCCTGTAAAATCATGGCACCTGGTATACTGCCATTTTCAAGAAAAGTGGTATTCTTGTATCAATTTCCAACGCTGGTCGGCTGACCAGCGTTGGAAAAAACTGGCTTTTTTCCAAATACTGGCCCCAATTGACCATCGCACTTGTTTGCAATCAATTACACACCTATAAACGGGTACAAGCCAGCTAGACTGGTTCTCTGACCTTATAATTCCCCAATGTATGTAAACTGCTCTGTTTCTTCTTATATGGAGTCAGGAACCAGACTACAGGAAAATGATTGTTTTTCTTGGTTTTTATAGCATTTTTGAACCCAAAACCTCAAAAGGTCAGTGTAACTATATTTGCTATATTTTTCCAAACCCCCCAATTCCATTCATTTCTGAAAATTACAGCAAAAGCAAATGATGTATATTCCCTCTAAGTTCATTGAAGAAAATTTAGTGATGTCACAGATATGGATAATCATGAGACAGTCACTGACTTACCCAACCTTGTTCCCATGGGTACGAGATCTTGCTGCGCCATGTTGCTTCCCATCATGCCTTGCGCGATCTTAACCCCTGGAATTGTGTAATTTAAATTTATCAAAATATGGCACATAATACGGTAATTAGGCAGAAGTTTATCCGTTTGACGTGCCGACGCCATCTTTAAAATGTTAAAAATTGTGATTTTAAAGAATCCATCCTTTCAAACATAAGGTTTGGACATTGCGTTATTTAGCAAAGATTTGTATTAAATGTATCAATCTTCGAAATGCGTGCGCAGTACGCTCTGAAAAGCCAGTCAGCATCATTTATGTGTACATCACGGCCAGGGGTTAGTGAAGGAATGCGCACGCGCCCATGGAGTCGAGCTTGTGACTTACCAGACGAAATCTGACAGAAAAGTCATCAAAACTTGCCCAACTTTCAAAGTTGATTCAAATTAGACAACTTCACATCTAAAGAAGCTACATAATTATTTAGTAAAACGTTCTAATAATATAAATTACTTTTTAGAAGTCTCAGTTTGCTAGAAATAATTTTAGAACTTTCAGCCAATCAGAAACGTTTTAAGCGCTGCTCAAATGGCAGCCATGTTGGATTTTACCATCACGCTATTTATAGCACAGCTGACATGTGTAAACAAACACGTGAGTGTACACACAGAATTTCGGCAGGAAAATACTCAAAACTACCTAGAAATAATACCTGAAAAGACAACCGGAATTTTCTAGACAAAAAAGCCAGATCTCTAGGAGGATATAGGTAAGACTTAGAGTAATAAAACTGAAGTAAAAAGTGGGATTTGGGGGCATTTTCATCACAGTATGATCCAGAAACCTAGTGTGAACTTGTACCATGTTACGAAGATGTTCTAAATTTTGTTACGTCATCATGACGTCATCAAGTATCAAGTTACAAGCAATTTCAGGGCAAATTCTGACAAAATAGTTTGCGCTGTATCTTTTGAACTACATAGAGTATCGTGTTCGTTTTTTCGTGAGGTTGTAGACTATGCCGTGAGAAACATTTCTTGTTCCAGACACAAAACCGCTTGACCTTCACTTCCGGTGTTACCGGAAGTGCAATAAAAACCGAATGCAAGTCAAAAGTGGAAGCATTTTACTACACACATATTATGAAAGTGAGGAATACCAGACACAAAAAAAGTGTGATGACGTCATCATCCGAAAGGGCGCCCCCTAGTGGCACATCAAATAGAGTTTTCTAAAATTTTTGAATTTGAAAAGGATCATATTTTTAATTTAATTCTATCATTTGATCCCTGTCATATCTTCGTAGTCCAAGTAATGATATCCATTACAATGTTCACGTTTGGATAACTCTAATGCTGTGACGTCATCAAACCGGAAGTTAGGTGTTATTAATACAAAAGATTATATTTCCTATATTTTCATACGTTATTTTCACTTCAAAATGAAAATGTATCCTCTCCGAACTTTAGTGAACAGTATTCACTAACCGCTTTTGAATGATGATGTCATCAAATCAGAAATAACTTTTTTGCGCACATAGAATGTTTACTGAAATTTATCACACTATTAAAGATACATTTTTTAACATAATCATTGATTGTACTGGAAGGGAATTAATTTCGTGAACCTTTGTTCTACATAGACATATATTCCTACCTTAACTGGGCAGTGTATAACAGTTCAGTTTGTTCTTGGTTTTCAATTGGAGAATCCACAAATGGGTGAAACCGGCTGAATGAGAATCATGTCCCAAATGCTGATTTGGGGAATGTGTCATGAGAGGGCGCAATTCAAAATATGACTCGACAACTTTGGCATTTGAGATTCAGAATATTTTGGTAATGTTTGTTCAGTTTTCTCAAAATATAGAGCATTCATAGAGCCAAAACTTCATCAGGTTAGTTATTAAGCATCCTTGTTTAGATTTTGAGCACTAGTTTGCTGGTTGAAATGAAATTAAAAAAAATCACAAAATACACGTTTTAATTGCCAAACACGCTTTCAAGAACACGCTGCAAGAAACAGCTGTCGTATTGCAACTCGTTGTAACTTATTTTCAACTGTTGCCGTAGCTTCCACTGTAGAAACACGATGTAAAAAAACAGAATTCAATTTATTGCCTTCAAGAGAGAACTGCACAAAGATAGAAAATGTTTCATTTCCTTATGAACTGTTATTCCTGTTTTGTTATTTTTGCTCAAACAGCTGATCGAAATCAACCAGTCTGAGTTAGTTCTCTTGGTTGGGGAGTTATTTGGGTGGTAACGAAGCAGTGGACCAGGCAATCAATCGAGCACACCATTGAGACATGGATCAACCTCCACTGATTGACGGAGTAGTGCTGAATAAGATTGACACCATTGATGATAAAGTAAGTAGCAAGTTTATGTTCTGCATAGGCTTTGACCTTGGTTTGATTCCTCTTTTGTTCCATGGTGTAGCCTTAGTTATCCTTGAATGAATTGAAAAGTTTTTGGTTCATATCCTCTGCTTGATCCTCTGTTCTATTGACCCTGAGTCTTTGTACCCCCAGGTGACGATAACGTGACGCCATGTCCAGTCATGCAATGTCAATTCAGTTTGAGAGGTAGTCTGGTAAAAAAGGATGGTTGAATTGTGACATTACACTTTTTAACAAAGTTAAGAATGTGATGATAGAATCTCAGAAAGTTGACTGGATATCGCCGCTAGGCATCATCATGCAGTTTGACTTCTCGTTGGTGCCGTGCAAGCGTGAAATTAAGGTTGTAATGAAAGATGTTTTCCTAGGGATATCTTAAATTGGGACGATGATGTTTGATAAATAAGATCATTCGGGAGCTCGTTTCAGTCTTCAATCGTCTTTGGGAACAAACTTTTGTGGTATGCTTGTGTGCGGCATTGCAAGGAAGCGTAGGGCTGATTATGTCTATTTCTTTGTTGTCGTTCTTCTGGGGTGATGTAATAAGGGATGTTAAGGGCAATTTCTTCATGGATGGAGCGGTAAAGCATAGTGACCCTGCTGACTGTTCTGCAGTGTTGGATGCATGGGCTCACAAAACCAAGTGTTGTATTAGCTCTGCTTGCTATTTGATTGATGTGAAGAGACCATGACAAATCTTTTTGAATTTCAACTCCAAGGTATGGATGGTTGGGTACAACAGAAAGGTTGGCATACATCAATCTGTAGATATTATCATGATGATTTTTGCTTCTTGTCATATGTAGGGTGTGACATTTCTGTGGCGTAAATGACATCTGTCATTGATGAGACCAGCTCGGAAGGCTATCCAGATCTTTTTGGAGTTGTTGTTGGTCATTGAAGTTAGCAATGCGTCGGAATAGTAGGCAGTCATCAGCAAATAACTTGATTTTGGTGTCTTTGCTAATGTTGTCACCAGTGTCATTGATGTAGAGTAGAAACATCAAAGGGCCTAGTACGGTGCCCTGGGGGACTCCTGATGTAGGGTCTGATGTTTCTCCATGTACAACTACTTGTTGGGTTCTGTTGGTTAACCATGTTCTGATCCATGTCAAGGTGTTACCTCTAATCCCGTAGTGTTCTATTTTATGAAGTAATCTCTCATGGGCTACAGTGTCGAATGCTTTGCTGAAGTCAAGCACCTGCACATCTATCTGAGCTTTGTTATTTTGATCTCGGTGTCGATGGATTTCTTCCATGGTGTTTATGAGTTGGGTTTCACACAAGTGATTAAAGATATGTTCCAGTAATTTGCAGGCTACCCACATGAGGGAAACTGGTCTGTAGTTGCTTGGTGATGATTGGCCCCTCTTTTTGTATCCAAGGATTTGATGACTGTCACAAACCAGGTTCGACTTAAGAAAAAGTTTTGGTTTCTGGGACACGTCACTTTTTAATGAATATTAATTATAAAGAAACAAAATTGCGCCCTCTTGCGACAATGACAGTTTTGTTTGGATCAAAGTTGGTAAGTGGCTGGTATTGTCAAACAGCTGTGGCTACTGTGTGGCTGTTGATTGTTGTATTGACCTGATAAAGTATTGTCTGCAAGTGGCTGGCATTGCCAAACAGCTGTGGCTACTGTGTGGCTGTTAATTGTTGTATTGACCTGATAAAGTATTGTCTGCAAGTGGCTGGCATTGCCAAACAGCTGTGGCTACTTCGTGGCTGTTGATTGTTGTATTGACCTTATAAAGTATTGTATGCAAGTGGCAGGCATTGCCAAACAGCTGTGGCTACTGTTTGGCTGTTGATTGTTGTATTGACCTGATAAAGTATTGTCTGCAAGTGGCAGGCATTGTCAAACAGCTGTGGCTACTGTGTGGTTGTCGATTGTTGTATTGACTTGATAAAGTATTGTCTGCAAGTGGCTACTGTGTGGCTGTTGATTGTTGTATTGACCTGATAAAGTATTGTCTGCAAGTGGCTGGCATTGCCAAACAGCTGTAGCTACTGTGTGGCTGTTGATTGTTGTATTGACCTGATAAAGTATTGTCTGCAAGTGACAGGCATTGTCAAACAGCTGTGGCTACTGTGTTGCTGTTGATTGTTGTATTGACTTGATAAAGTATTGTCTGCAAGTGGCTACTGTGTGGCTGTTGATTGTTGTATTGACCTGATAAAGTATTGTCTGCAAGTGACAGGCATTGTCAAACAGCTGTGGCTACTGTGTTGCTGTTGATTGTTGTATTGACTTGATAAAGTATTGTCTGCAAGTGGCTACTGTGTGGCTGTTGATTGTTGTATTGACCTGATAAAGTATTGTCTGCAAGTGGCTGGCATTGTCAAACAGCTGTCGCTACAGTGTTGCTGTTGATTGTTGTATTGACCTGATAAAGTATTGTCTGCAAGTGGCAGGCATTGTCAAACAGCTGTGGCTACTGTGTTACTGTTGATTGTTGTATTGACCTGATAAAGTATTGTCTGTAAGTGGCTGGCATTGCCAAACAGCTGTGGCTACTGTGTGGCTGTTGATTGTTGTATTGACCTGATAAAGTATTGTCTGTAAGTGGCTGGCATTGTCAAACATCTGTGGCTACTGTGTGGCTGTTGATTGTTGTATTGACCTGATAAAGTATTGTCTGTAAGTGGCTGGCATTGTCAAACAGCTATGGCTACTGTGTGGTTGTTGATTATTGTATTGACCTGATAAAGTATTGTCTGCAAGTGGCTGGCATTGTCAAACACCTGTGGCTACTGTGTGGCTGTTGATTGCATATGGAGAACTAGGGAGCATTTGCTCACTCGCCTCTAGTGCAGCTCTGTTTACGTGGGAAGACTGGCTCATATCTAGGCACTCTCAGCAAACTTTCGTTAATACGCGGAAAGTATGTTGGTTAAACTTACTTCCTCGCATCGCATCATAAAATATAGGTTGTCCTCTTTCAAATGAATATAATTTCTTCATGGTTAAAGGTGAATAATTATGTGCACTTTTTCATTGAAAAACTGGTAACTCAGTGAAAATTTCGCGTTTCCTATGGAGGTCACCGTGACGGCACATTTCCCCGATTTCTGAGGGTGCGGGTTTACTTCTTCGAACAGCACACGTGTGAATTCGGTTGCATACAATTACCTCGCACGGTTTCTAGAAGATAACACAATAAGCTTTCCATTCATGTAACAACCGTTTTGATTGGTTGAGAAGAACAAGGGGCACTTTTCTTGTCAAATCAGACATCGCTTTTGTTGCGAGGATCGACCTGCTGTTTATGTATAGTCCGGTCAACGCAATGGGGCTGTGCAGGTCGCCGGGTCAATGCACCGTTGTGTGTGACCGCAGAGCATGCAGGGCTTTGATTTTCTGCACATATGGGTGGCAAAGTTCTCCATATGTGTATTGACCTGATAAAGTATTGTCTGCAAGTGGCAGGCATTGTCAAACACCGATTCGAAACGAGATGTAGAAGGCACACTTCAAGTAAGACACAAGAGGGCTCTATTTAAATAGAAATATGCCATTTTCATTACTGATGGCTCAAAACCCCTATACCAAACGATTGCTATTATGAACATTTTCTGTAGATCTTGCGATGTTCGTTATAGTGGCATTCCACTGTAGCGCAATATTTCAACACCCTTTAACGATAGCAATTTCATCGCAATTGACAGAAATTCCCTCTTTGCCCAGGTTCAGTGGTGCAAGGTTGTACGAATATTAACAATAGGTAATTTTCAAAAGCTCTTACATTATTATTATTATTATTATTACTATTTAATGGTTTATTTCAAAAAACATCATATCGCAGCCTCGCGGCCGAATTGCACAATGTTTTACATGATTCACAAATATTGTTAAAAGACAATGCTTACATACAAATAAGAAACACGGAACTATGACACATAACAGTAAAAAGCACTTAATAAATATTACATTTAAGGGAAAAAAAATACATAATCAGCCCTTTAGCTAAAATTTTAATTTTTTTGATAAAATTCAATTTAAAGAATCAGTTTTGTAATTACCCGTAAATATAAAGTGAAAAAGTAAAAGAGTTGTATTGGAACATGACATATGCATTAAAAATATAAAAGTTATACAGTGAGATACAAGAGTCTGAGACTGGTCAATTACTAAGCTGTTGCTACTCAATAGAGATAGATATTACTTCGCATTATAAAGTCTTATCAAAGATGGTATTGGGCTGTTTCTCATTCTTGTTGTTCTACAGCGAGGCTCTGGAATTTTTTTAAGTATGTCTTAACTGTCTTGCGTTTTCCGCAGATGGAAGAAAGAAAATTCTGAAGCTGATTTGAATGGGTTATTGTCTTTTGCATGAACGAAGTACACAATGATACTCGCCTTTCTTCTAAGTTTTTCATACCTAGCACATTTTTTGAGTTCTCATAACTTATAAAACGTCTGCCAAGAAAAGCTCGTTTTTGGATTGACTCAAGAGCTAAGCACTGCTTGTTGGTGAGACCACTACTCCAGACTGGAGCCCCATATTCCAAGATGGGGCGAATATAAGAACAGTTCACTGTCAACAAGTCATTGTCGGGCAGACGATGACGTTTGAGGACACGTAGCATATGTAATTTTCTATTTGCTCTCTTAACAAGATCAACTACGTGTGATTCCCATTTCAGGTCATTTTGAATTAGAATGCCGAGTAATTTAAGAACATTAACACACTGCAACGTATGGCCATTAATGCTAATTTCATTAATTACTGCAAGATTCCGTGAGAAATTAATTTGCATTACACAACATTTAGCAGGATTCACTTTCATGTTATTGTCACTCGACCACTTTACAATATGTGTAACCGCATCTTCCATTCGAGATTGCTGGTCTGTGCTCCAGGTTTCAATTAGCGTCATGTCATCAACGTATTTATAGGCATCGATACCGTCTAGTGCACATGCATCGTTTATCATTGCGAGAAAAATAATAGGGTCCAAACATGTTCCCTGCGGTACTCCAGCATGTAGCACAGACCAGTTGGACATATGCGATCTATACCTTACACGTTGTTGCCGCGATACAAGGAAGTTTGTTATCCATGGGATCAGACTTTCTGGCACTCCTAATTTCAATAACTTTGAAACAGCAATGGAGTGGTCTATGCGATCGAATGCCTTCGAGAAATCTCTGACAAGCAGAGTTGATGTAGATTTAGACTTCTCTGCATTCAGAAATACATTGTGTAGAATGTTTATTATGCAGTGTGAACCCACGTTAAAGCAACAACCCACGTTAAAGCAACAACATCTCCAATGTACCTCTTTTCAATGCACATTGCACATCAACGGCACTTTCTTTGGACAGCTGAGAGTCCACCACTCATGCAGCAAATGTTGTCCATCATTTTGAAATCAATGATGCTCTGCCATCTGTGACCGAAGAGATTTCAATAAGATATCACTCAAAAGCAAATGAACTACCCCTAAAGATGGGCCACTTGGACATTTTTGAAGATCCTAACCTTTACATATTATCCCATCGTTTTTCGAATGACCATTTTCTTGATGCATCCTGTTCATATGTATTGCAACCGTTAACTGACTTAAATTGTGTTCCAGATACATTTTTTCGTTCAGTTCTTCTTTTAACTCAAACATATTCTGAATCCACATCGCCCCCCATTAATGGATCTTTCTCACTCTTCAACAGTGAACAACTTTATTTACCGTGTGGGACGTCATCCCACCTCATGAATGGACTCCACCGTGACTACGCTTCTTGAGAGGTTGATATTAGCAGTGTTTGCAACAGACTCTAAGGCCTGGATCTCGATTGGATTGAACACTTGAACACTTGAACATTTGACCCAAGTTGACAACACCAAGGCCTTGACCCAATGGTGCGGACCCACGGAATTGGCCTGAGTCTTTAGCCAACGGCCATGCCCCGAGTAAGTGGCGGCCCACGGAATTGGCCCGAGTCGGCGGCCCACGGCAAACCCCCGAGGTGCCGGCCCTCGGAACGGGCCCGAGTCGTCCATCGGCTCACGGCCTTTCGCCGGGGTGTCGTCCCACGGACTTGCTCGAGTCGTCGGCCCACGGCCTTGTGCCGGGGTGTCGTCCCACGGACTGGCCCGAGTCATCGACCATGCCTTGACCCGAGGTGCCGAGCTACGGACTTGACCAGAGCCGTCAACCCGCGGCCTTGTGACCACTACCATGAATGCTCTTTGGAATTCTTGTGGTGAGTTTAATTATCTTTATTTTAACACCCCCTTCCTGTGCAAAATATACAGTGCTTGGTTTCCTATCAAAATATGTATTCAAAGTTTGCATTAAACTCGTTCTCAAATGCTTTTCATTTCGAAAATTTCAGTAAAAACTTATTGTGTATGTCTTTGAAATGTCAGTATGAAATGGTGTACATAATAGATTCTGATAATTTTAACGATGGCTTTTTGTAATTTGTGCGGCGGTAACCGCGCGGCCATTGCTACCGTATTGTATCTCGTTCGATCCTTGCAAATGTTAGCCAGGTTGTAGGCCCTTCAGTTTTCTCTGGTGCAAGGGGAATACCCAGCTTATTACTCAGTGTTTGAAATCCGACCAAATCATGCACACCCTGTTGATGAGATGTTGAAATGATTAGAAAATTATCCAGAATATGGACTATTCCAGAATAAATGGTTAACACTTTATATCTAGTTTAGATGGCACACATCCTGGTCCCACTTTCTTCAAAATTTGTATTGCATCATCGGTTGACGCATACTTGACTGTTGCGTTGCAATCTGGTATTCCATCGTTTACGGAACCATGTTTAGGATGAGACAAATGATGAATTATTCAAAATGAACCAGGCTGTCTTTTAGGAACTAAACCAATCGAGCTAACGCAAAAATTATCAAGTGGCAAGTCTTGGAACGGCCCTGCGAGCCTACCTTGTCTAAGTTCTAACCCTAGTTTTTCAGAAACCCCTTTTGGATTGAAGAGCAGATTTTAAATTTGTTGATGTCCTAAATTTTTGATTTGCCTGTAAAACCTAAAAACCAATTGTAAAACCATGAATTAAACATTTGTACTTAATGCCATCATAGCCTTGTAACATGGTTTGAAGCACATCTTTATTTACTGGTGTTATTGGTTTGTCCTGGGATAAATGAGGTCTGTCCCCTTCCTGTTCTGCTTTTAGGCTGTGTATAGGCCTGTAGGGCGATCTGACTCTGTTATTATGTTTATCCACAAATGAGTTCTGGTAGCAGGGCTTTGCTTTCTGGGGTTAATTCAATGTTTTCTTTCCCTTTCTAGCCCTGGCACTAATACAGCTCAATAATTCAAATGTTTCCTTCAGCAAAGTGAGGACCACTGACTGATGAGGGAATTGCTCTACTGAGATAAGGATGAGCCTGCCTCAAGACATTGTCAGGGCTCCGACAGCCTCATCAAACAGAAACCCGAGGAACCGGAAGCAGGGAGGAGGACCGACAGATGAACGGATGACCTGCTTGCTGGGCTACCCATTACTGATTCTTGAGGTTAGTTTTTAGTTACGTGTACCTAAAGAATAAGCAGAAACAAGTAATCAAAATGGGTGATCTGGCACTCTTCCATGTTCTCCCACAAATAAAGAGTGCTGGTAGTGGGGCACTGCTTTGTGGGGTTAATTCGAACATTTCTTCCCCCCCCCCCTCTTGCTCTACCTTTCAGATATTTATTAATAATGATAACCCAGTCAAAACCTAGAAAGCTCAGAGTCATTTTGAAGATGTGCTATCAGTCAAAACCTAGAAAACTCAGAGTCATCGTGAAGAATTATTTGATATTTTATAAGGAGGATTTAAACGTACATACAGACTGGACATTTGTCACAAAATGTCTCTCCCTGTTTATACATTACCCTAATCACATCATAAATTTGAAGCCATTTTGAAAACTGATATTCTCGTTTGACAACAATGTAAAATGGCTTAATAATGTAACTGGAAGTGCCTATTAGAAACTGAATTTAGTCCTAAGCACCTTTTTCCTATCAGTGAAAAAAAGAGAAAAAATACTAGCTCATCTTTTACCTTTATATGCAACATCCATAAACTTATGTAATTGGCCCATTAGAACCCTCCGATGCAAACATGCATACTCAGCCATGCTGTTACTCGGGTCAAAATCAGTCAAGTGACCGTTTTTTGACCCGATGGAATTCTATGCATAGAACTAAATTATTGACCTGTTTTGACTGCTTAAGTAACTGGCCATGAGAATGACTTGACCAACTGTGACCTGTAGAACAGTTGTTGATAATGAATATTTGCTGACTGTTATTGACTTGTTAAAGTACTGTCATAGTCAGTAAGTTGCTGGTATTGACTATTTGAAACATGATCCCTGTCAAAACAGCTGTGGGTGCTAAATTGCTGTTGACTGTTTTTGACTTGACAGTCCTTCTGATTTGAAAATCACAGGCGTGTGGAAAAAGGCACATCTGGACTTTTCGAGGTGTGTATTTTTTCTAGGTGTGTGATTTTCTAGGTGTGTGATCTGTGGTCCAGGGAAATTCAGACATGCAATTGTTCAACTACGCCGGAAGCTTTTAGGTGTGCGATGGTGTGGGGGTGTGATCGCAGAAGGACTGACTTGACAAAGTGCTGTCCACAGTTGGTGTTTGGTATTGACTGAAACATGATCCCTGTCAAAAAATCCCCCCCCTCCAAAAAAAACCACCACCCTACCTATTACCCTGTTTTCAAATGCCATGTAATTGGAAGCAGAACTTTTTGGGTGGGGGCCTATTGGTATTGTCAGCAATTGGTAAGTGGCTGGTATTATCAAACAGCTGTGGCTACTGTGTGGCTGTTGATTGTTGTATTGACCTGATAAAGTATTGTCTGCAAGTGTCTGGTATTGTCAAACAACTGTGGCTACTGTGTGGCTGTTGATTGTTGTATTGACCATATAGAGTATTGTATGCAAGTGGCTGGCATTGTCAAACAGCCGTGGCTACTGTGTGGCTGTTGATTGCTGTATTGACCATATAGAGTATTGTATGCAAGTGGCTGGCATTGTCAAACAGCCGTGGCTACTGTGTGGCTGTTGATTGTTGTATTGACCTTATAAAGTATTGTCTGCAAGTGGCAGGCATTGTCAAACAGCTGTGGCTACTGTGTGGCTGTTGATTGCTGTATTGACCATATAGAGTATTGTATGCAAGTGGCTGGCATTGTCAAACAGCCGTGGCTACTGTGTGGCTGTTGATTGTTGTATTGACCTTATAAAGTATTGTCTGCAAGTGGCAGGCATTGTCAAACAGCTGTGGCTACTGTGTGGCTGTTGATTGCTGTATTGACCATATAGAGTATTGTATGCAAGTGGCTGGCATTGTCAAACAGCCGTGGCTACTGTGTGGCTGTTGATTGTTGTATTGACCTTATAAAGTATTGTCTGCAAGTGGCAGGCATTGTCAAACAGCTGTGGCTACTGTGTGGCTGTTGATTGCTGTATTGACCATATAGAGTATTGTATGCAAGTGGCTGGCATTGTCAAACAGCCGTGGCTACTGTGTGGCTGTTGATTGTTGTATTGACCTTATAAAGTATTGTCTGCAAGTGGCAGGCATTGTCAAACAGCTGTGGCTACTGTGTGGCTGTTGATTGTTGTATTGACCTTGTAAAGTATTGTCTGCAAGTGGCTGGCATTGTCAAACAGCTGTGGCTACTGTGTGGCTGTTGATTGTTGTATTGACCTGATAAAGTATTGTCTGCAAGTGGCTGGCATTGTCAAACAGCTGTGGCTACTGTGTGGCTGTTGATTGTTGTATTGACCTGATAAAGTATTGTCTGCAAGTGGCTGGCATTGTCAAACAGCTGTGGCTACTGTGTGGCTGTTGATTGTTGTATTGACCTTGTAAAGTATTGTCTGCAAGTGGCTGGCATTGTCAAACAGCCGTGGCTACTGTGTGGCTGTTGATTGTTGTATTGACCTGATAAAGTATTGTCTGCAAGTGGCTGGCATTGTCAAACAGCTGTGGCTACTGTGTGGCTGTTGATTGTTGTATTGACCTGATAAAGTATTGTCTGCAAGTGGCTGGCATTGTCAAACAGCTGTGGCTACTGTGTGGCTGTTGATTGTTGTATTGACCTGATAAAGTATTGTCTGCAAGTGGCAGGCATTGTCAAACAGCTGTGGCTACTGTGTGGCTGTTGATTGTTGTATTGACCTTGTAAAGTATTGTCTGCAAGTGGCTGGCATTGTCAAACAGCCGTGGCTACTGTGTGGCTGTTGATTGTTGTATTGACCTGATAAAGTATTGTCTGCAAGTGGCAGGCATTGTCAAACAGCCGTGGCTACTGTGTGGCTGTTGATTGTTGTATTGACCTGATAAAGTATTGTCTGCAAGTGGCAGGCATTGTCAAACAGCCGTGGCTACTGTGTGGCTGTTGATTGTTGTATTGACCTTATAAAGTATTGTCTGCAAGTGGCTGGCATTGTCAAACAGCTGTGGCTACTGTGTGGCTGTTGATTGTTGTATTGACCTTATAAAGTATTGTCTGCAAGTGGCTGGCATTGTCAAACAGCTGTGGCTACTGTGTGGCTGTTGATTGTTGTATTGACCTGATAAAGTATTGTCTGCAAGTGGCTGGCATTGTCAAACAGCTGTGGCTACTGTGTGGCTGTTGATTGTTGTATTGACCTGATAAAGTATTGTCTGCAAGTGGCAGGCATTGTCAAACAGCTGTGGCTACTGTGTGGCTGTTG